TGCGTGATGTATTACATATTCAACTGTGTTAAGACCTTTCATTATTAGTATCACGGCTGACACAGGAACGTATGGAAACTAAGAAAATGTGATAGTTTATAGGTAATAAACCCTGTTAGTTGTGCAGGTAAAACTTTCAATAACCGAGTCTACAAGAAAATTCAAATAAAGTTTCTTGATAAGGAATCCCCATATACGTTAAGCTTCTGTATATTTAAAATGGAACAAATACACACATAGTTACCTAAGTGTGTGTTTGTGTGTGTGCATGTACGTATACGCATAAGTGTGTTTGTGTCTATGTATATACTTGCTGGTGTTTAAATACATTCTTGCATAATTAACTGATATTTAGAGTATAACCCATTTAGTATAAATATATTAAACTAATATTCATAATGTTTACATAAGTGTTACTAACAAGAAACCGTTAGCGTAAATTAGCAAACCAGGAATGTTAACTGCTTGTCCACCATAATTTTGTGTTAAGCAGTAAAAAGTACATGTTACAGCATAATACGATACTATGAAGGTAATTAGGATGACAAAATTCAGTGCTGTGTTGCTAAGATGTCTATACTATAAGAGACTCCGTCGTTTTCAACATTATACTTAAGGCACAGTATATAAATGGACCTGCAGTTTTACCAGTTACATTAAAAGGTAATTTCTTTATCGTACAGATACTCATATTTTCCGTGTATAATCACACTATTGACTTACCGAACATAAGCAGTTTGAAGGAACACAATTCATAGGAATAGTTGCGGTAGTGGTTTTATAAACTAGCATAATTACTTGTATGTTCCTCCAGTCAACTAATTTTATAATGTTACGTAAATCTATCTAATAGCTACAATACATAATAATGCCTATCTTATCTAGTTTTTCGTATTTAAGAACATTTGTTACTCTCGGACAGTCGGGCATACATTGTTATAGTGACCATACAAGTGTTAAATTGTTTCTCAGGATTTTAATGTAATAGATTCGTCTTGTATGTTATAAGATATGGTTATTGTATGTACACCCGAACGCGTACAAACAGACACAAACACACACTTGTTTTATCCTCTGTGACAAGAACATTCCGTGCGTTTATGTGAGGCATTTGATATCCTTCAACAAAATAAAAAAAATATCCTTTACCTTCAATTGCTTCCTTCCAGCCAGACGGATCGCACGCCATGGCTACCGACGTCCTCAGCCGCGAGCAGGCTTTTTCTTTCCTCGTCAAGGTCGGGATGGCGGACGGCGGAAAAAATCTTCGCGAGGAACCGCGGAAATTCCTCTCGGATCTTATAAAGGCTTTTCAAGCACATTTGCCTTTCCAGGTAGGTTATAGCTGGATAATTTTTGTATTGTATTGAATTTTATTATGGTGGATGGTTATCTAATCTAGCGTTAAGACTGTTATCTGTTTTAGGCGCATTTTCAGAAAGTTGGTTCCTTGCATTATGGGAGACGTGTTTTGCAATAT